AAGCTTGTCGAACTGATGAACTGGTCAATTTAACTGTAGATGATATTGAGGATGTAGGCTCTTCCTTGATTGTAAAAATTCCAAACACTAAGACAAAGATTCCACGAACCTTTGTGGTTACCGATGTGGGAAATATGCTTGAATTGTTTCGAAAATACCTGTCCCTTCGTCCTCCCCACGTCAAGCATAAGCGCCTTTTTTTGTACTACAAAGCAGGATAATGTAGTTAGCAGCCAGTTGGCAAGAATACCATGGGAAAAATTCCGAGTGTAGTAGCTTCGTATTTAAAATTACCTGATGCTGCACGTTATACTGGTCACTGTTTACGAAGATCTTCAGCGACATTACTGGCAGATGCTGCTGTGGATATCACGACAATAAAGCGTCAAGCTGGTTGGAAATCAACGACAGTCGCTGAGGGTTATGTCGAGAACTCCATTGAAAATAAGACCAAAATTGCTAATCAGGTTTTAGTAGGTACCACTACTAGCGCAATCACAAAAACTGTAAATGTAAGCGAAAGTAATATTCCTTCTAATATTAATTTTGAAAATTGTACAAATGTAACATTTAATTTAAATGTCAATAAATAATTTCAATGTTATCTTTTTTTTGCATGAAAAACGTTCTCCATAATGTAAACTCCCTTGGGAGCATTATACTCCCTTGGGAATAATCGACTACTTCTGTTTTAATTTTGATGTCATAGAAACTGATTTCTACTCCCGACCGTGGAAAAAGTATATTTTAGTTATTATTACATTCCGCATCATACCTACACTCTGACAGTCAGTGTTTTCTAATATCAATAAATCATGCATTATACAAGTCAAGAGACGATGTTGTTTATTCAACAAAAATGATTGCGAGAACCCAAAGATCAAGAAGTTCTTGTTAATGTAATTAAAGAAATTGATACTATAAGAACTACGAGTCAGATCGATCATTTCTTTTCTCGGAATTTGTTATTACTTATTACATTACTATGCAAAATCACGGGTCAAAGACTCATATCTTTCCAATATACAATATTTTTGTTTTATTGTTCATAAATGTTTACAAGCTACATAACCACCGAGCTTAGGCAACCCAACATTGCACGACTGGTACTGGTAACAAAAATCTCTAAATCTTGGCGTCAGCAATTTAATGAATCGTTTACAATGAACAGTAACAAACCGTTACGCCTATGCTGGAGATAATACGATAACTGAGAATAGAATCCCGTGACAAATTACACCAATCACAGCCGGTGTTGTGTTTTAATGTAATCAGAAGTAATCTTGATCATATTGTTTAATATTTTACCGAAATCTAATTGCCAACATGAAAATTACTGTTCCAAACAAAATTACTGATCACATGGCTTGTAATAATTTATGAAGGGTCTGCATATTAATCCGTAAAGTTCTTGAGTAGTTGCTGCCAAATTTTTGTGTTTTAGTATTAAATTTCGTCTAAAAACTGATTAATTATAAGTATATTGTCCTTATTAATAATTATTTTTACTGACTTTTTTCAAATCAGTTTTCCCTCAAACATGACATTTGTACCTACATATTTAATTTAGCTAATATCTAACATAAGAATTAAATTTATTCTAAAACTTTTGACATCTCTTTAATTAATATAGAGGTACATTGGATAAAAAGAAATTGGATTTTTGAATAATTTGTTAAAACTCATGTTTGATGAATTGTTATAGACTAGTTTGTTTTTTTTTTGTAAAAAAATTATATAAAACAATATGTAGCCACAATGGCAATGTCAATTATGAAAATAGATAATTCTATAACTTTCTATTTATATTCCCTAAATTTAAAACGTAAAAAATATTTGAAAAAGTAAAAAAAAATTGACAGATTCAGAAGATTACGTTATATTTAAAATCATTTTTTAAGTGTGTGTAATTTGAATGTTAAAAAAAATCTTTTGATTCGTTTAGAATGTTGCACCTTATTTAAACTCAGCTTAAAAGAATTTCTTGTCTTTTATATCCTAACAAGAATGGGAATTTCTGTACAAATGATTTCTAATAAATTCAATTTTCAGAACTTTACGACATTAAGTTTATTTATTTCTACCAAGAAAACCATAATTACAGAAGAGAGTACCTATCAAATTTGGAATATTCTTGACGAATGCGTGTTGCAGTTACATCATAGTAGGTACATATTCATAGTTAATTTTGTTACACACGGAAACTAGACACACCACGTGCCAAACTATTTAATCATATCGAAAAAATCCAGTTATATCTAAATCGACATTATCAAATAATTAATATATCCAAAAATATCTTAACTTTTACTGACCCAATGTTGTTATCTTGTTTTACAGTGAAAGAGTTATTTTTACATTAAATTAAACATAATTATGCTTATTAAAATTAAGTACTATAGAAATGAAAACTAATGATTTTTCAAATCAATTGCCCCTAAATGTCAAGAAAAGTAGAAAATCTAGATAATTGCATCGAGTTACACACTTGACAAAAAATAAATAACCAAAAAAAATGATAATCGTCTGCCATTAACGTAGGTATTGAAAAAAATATATATTGTTAAGTGCCAGTTTGCATTATTTTTACAACTATTAATTCCAATATTTCGCTTAATTGTTGACATTGTCAAAATCCTTGGACATTGTCCACAGTTTTAGGAAAATTAGGTCTTCCATCTGACAGCCTACAAACGTCAAAATTTGTGGGCAAACGTCAGCCTTTATTTGACTTATCTGATAGTGTAGCTTATAAGAAATGACTGTTATAGTCTGTGGCGTTTTTTATCTAACACACGATGTATTGTATGCTGCATGATATTACAATTAGCACTAGACAAAAGATGTCAAAAATCATAAAAGCAATTTCAGTGTCGATAAAAACGTTTTGAAACACTTAAGAATATTTTAATTATTAGAAATGTTTAGCAGTAACGACAGTCGCGATTTATAACCTGAACATTTTAATATATCCCCACATAATAAAAGAAACTATTTGTAAAAATGGTATAATAAATGCAAAAACCTGAAGGATCGCATCCCTCTTACGTCCCTCCCTCCCCTTGCAGGCCTTTAATTACCAGTAAGTGTACCCTTATAGATAGATAAAAGTAATTAACAGCAACTTTTTTTTACTGCGCTGTAGGTACTTTAGTGTGAAATGTGCCATATTTTAAAGACATGTGCCTACAATTATAATTCCTGACCTATATAGAGGATAATGGGGTATCATTAAACCGATAATTTCTACAACATCAAGGTTGCCACACATTAAGTAATCATTATCAGTTCAGTGACTCTTATCGGAGAGCAATTAAACAAATGGTCACATAATTTAAATTTCAGTGCTATGTGGGCCCACACAGGCATAGGAAGATGGCCGTTTTAAATATCTGCTGGATTATTCATGCAACATTTACTCCCTTCGTTTTTTACTCATAAGTAGAAAAAAAAATGGGAAGAACATTTTCTGTTAAACACCTTCAAGGTTATATTAATGCTATCGAGTTTGCAAGGATGAAGTTTATCTTCTACCTGTAAAGGAGTACAAAAGCAAAGAAATCGACTAAAACGATGTTGCGAATCCAAAAAAAAAGACTTAAAATAAAATAAATAGAACGCCGCTTTATCTAAAAAATATATTCAGAAAGCATAGGCGTACTAAAAAAAATAGGGGTCCATGGATACCGCAACCCCTCCTCTCACTGCTCGCACTTTGATATTTTACACCAAAATTATACAAAAAGTGTGCCGACATAAGATCAAAATATGTGCTAAATTTCAAATAAATATCCTACAATCGCCGGAGTTATCAATAAAAATCATTTTTTAAATTTTAATTTTGACACCCTTTCATCTTAGAATGATTTGAGAAATCGGCTTCTTCTATGTTTTAAATTATTTCAGAAACACCCTGTACAATTTGTGTAAAAAAAAGTTCTATCAACTTTTGGACTAAGGTAAGATCGCCTAAATCGCAATATTTTTGCTTCGGAAGTATCTACCCATGAATTTTGGCCCATTACCTCGGGACCACCCTGTATAAATTTTTCTGCATTTTGCGCCGGTAATACTCTCCTTAAAATTTGAACGTGCTGATTTTATTTTTTATATTTGAAAGCGTCGATTTTTTATTTGATCGCTCCGATTTTTTTATTATTTACACAATTTTCTAAACCTGTTCAAGTTTTTAAGTCCAATAACAAGACATAAGTACCAATGTATAATGCATTCAAAAAAATAGGTAAGAATTCTTGGGGTGTACCTATATTTTGTTCGAAATGTTTCACATAAATAGTATCCAATATTTGGATTTGTATTTTATTCATATTACTTATTGTATTTATCTTTGCAAAAATTGTGCTTCGGCAATCAATAAAGAGATTCCGATGTTAATTTATACATTGTTGGTTGTAGTGAAACAGGCGTGTAATTTCCAGCCGCTTTACTTGTTTAAGAAGTATACATTGTTGCAAAATATGCCACTCTAATAAAAATTACTTATAGGTATCTGTATTGTACATTTAAATGTGAAAGAAAACAACATATTTCTGTCTCGTTTATGTTAAACATTCTTGATTGGAAATAGTTATTACTTGATCTCCCTGAACCATAAAAAGTATATTTTTATTTTCAACACGGAAACAGTTATATTTCTATAAAATTAATAGGTTATACGTAAAAAGTTAATTAGGGGTTATATTTTAAATTTCTTTTTATTTTCAGTGCAGATACCTAAATCTAATTAAATACAAAAAATAAAATAAATATACTTACATTACAAAATTAGGTAAAGGTAGGTTGTATTCTGAACTTATTTGAATAAGTTAAGTAATTTAGATTTCTATAATTAATTAATAAAGTAGACTGTGAGTATTTAAAACATAATTTTAGTAAAAACTTATTATTTATACATTATGCGTGCAAAATATTTTTCAAGGTTGACCGTGAGTTACAGCAAAATTTAAAACACAAAATTTAAATAAATTTTAGCATCTTACCTTAAAACGTAAGCATCAATTTGGTCGTTTTTCACAAAACTTATAATTTCACAACGTACGATTTTCAGAAGCGATTCCAATTTTATTCTAGAAAAAAACGAAATAATTTTTTAAGATCAAATGGTTTAAACGTAGAATTAAGAAAAAAGCCTGTGAGCGGAATACTCATAAAAGGCTCATCAAATCATTTATAAACAGACATAAACCAAAAACGAAATCAGCTGTCCGTGCAATTAGATTGTACTTTACTTTGAAGATAGGGAGTGAAAAATCAATGCAGTCTGTGATATGTCACAGTCTAACCATCAAATGAAGAAAAGAAAATGAAATTTTGAACCGGCTTTATTACATACATTTAAAAGACAATATAAACAAACCTTGGAATTTTACGTAAATCGGGTGCTTTATTATTCCCGTCACTTGTGGTAAACCAGATTTCGAGGAGCTTTTCGACTCCCTCGAAAAATTGAACACCGTCACTCATACCGTCTATTTGCTCAGTCGCAGCCATACCGTACATACGAGCGCCCGAATTTTAATGAATAAAATTGGCTGTGGATCGGTATTTGACTTGCCTAGCCGGAGCCAGACGCCGGCAAACTAGATGCGCGCTCATCTGTAAACAAAATACAAGGCGGGGAATACAAACATGTCAACAACTAACAAGTAAAGACGTAAATAGTGAGTAATTAACCACATTATGTACTAAATATAAACAACCAATTAAAAAAGAAGGAGCGTTTTCCTCATCCAAATTTGAAACTATTTTTTTATATAAATATTGCCCTTACCTACTGAAGCCTTAGTTTTTGAAATTCCTAATGCTGAAGTTTCCAAAAATATTGTTATATATTTTATGCAATATCTTCAGAACACTTGAAGATATTGGAATAAAATATTGTGCGCGCATTAATAAAAAAGTAAGGTGAGTAAATCGGTTACATTTATTTCCTCAAAAATTATGGCACGCCTCTGGAAAACAAATTCTTGTCATTACTCATTTTATAGGACAGCAGGGAGCGTTTCAATAAAATGTAAGAATATTTTTAATATGAGAATAACATCATTTGAATTGAGGCCATTCTTTTTTAGATAATTACTGGATGTTAAAGTTTTAAAAGAAAAGGATATCAGCAGATTCACCAGGTTACAAGAATCTTTAAAGTGTGTAACAGGATCTGTAACAGAAATAAGATATAAAACTGAATATAATACATTTTCCTAAAAAATTATAGTATGTACACCACTGGAAAAGAAATTCTTCTTATCATTTTATCATAGAAAATATAGTACTATATTTTCTGTCATTTTATATACAGAGCACTGTTCTGAGAGCAGGGAGCATTTCGTCAAAATTTAAGAAATTTGTCTATATAGAAACATCATTTTTGGCGCTTTGTTAGATAAGTATAATGGATGTTTTAAGTTTTTTTTAAGTATATCAGCAGATTCGCCAGCTTACAAGACAAGAATCTTTAAAGTGAATAACATATACCTACCTATGTAATGTAACATAAAAGCATCGAACATCAAAACGCCATTTTAAAAACATTTTGTCTAAATGTATTGTCCTTGCAAATTGTTAATTGTACCAAAATAGTAAAGGTTATCCATAAGGAACAAAAGATCATTATCCTTCAAAATAAAATTTGCATTTGCATTTGAAAAACGACACTTTCTTTCAGTGGCGTGCCACAATTTTTTGGCGGAAATATATTCTGCATACCTCCTATCTCCGCCACTGGTTTAGCTTGAGACAATTTTTTTATATTGAATGGCATTTTATCATGCACTGTGCACACACATTTTCTTTTCAATATCTGCATGTATTCGGAATATATTTAGAGATACATTTTTTTATACTTTCAACTATTACGGTTCAATTAAAATTTTATTTTACAGTTTTTCATATTTAATTGTTACTGAAATGTACGTATGTTTTTCACGTTCCGTTACTCTGAAATTCCCAATATATTACGTTAGGTACTCATTCAGATTTTTTATAAATAAGTTTAAAAATATGGAACTAAAACGGGACGAAGTAATGGGGTCAGAAGAGCTATAAATACGACAATAAATAATTATTCTTTTTTCGAATAATATACCATTATTTATAAATTCAGCGATGTTTTAAATTTCTAGCTTTGAAGTTCGATTTTTCTGCATTTTGCGACGATAATACGCAAATACTCTCCTTAAAATCTGAATGTGCCAATTTTTTTTTATTTGGAAGTGCCTGTAGTCTCATATGGGATGTACGGGTAAAATGTTACCTACTCGATAATTATTGCCACAAGTGTCATCATGATATGATGTTATTTTTGATATAATGATAATACAAAAGTAATCATAAATAAAAATTAAAGAGAACATATTGTTCAACCACAGACAAAATAGTGGCGGTAAGTTATAATGTCTGTGGTTCAACTGAGCATAGGCGCCGACTTTTAAAACTTTTGTCGAAATTGATTAAACTTGTCAAAATAAATAAACTTTATTACTGTTTCGATACAAATTTCAAAAATTTAACAATCTTAATAATTTTAACAAAAATAAACTTCTATGGAATATATAAATATATGTACTATGTGTAGACGTAAGCGTAGGTAGCACAGAAATATACTATTCTTACAAAACTGATAATAATTCTTGCGGGTGCTTGAGCCCCGGAGCACCCGAGAAGTCGGCGCCTATGCAACTGAGTTTTGCAATTTGAAATAAATCATATAGGTACTTATTTTAGAAATAAGAAGAAAAGTCCAATTTCTCACAATCCTTTTATTTTAAAAAAAAACAATAGACTACCGGTTTCGATGTCAAATTTTTCATCTCAGCCTCAGGTCCTACAAAGCTACAATATAATATAATTTTTTAAATTAGTAAAGTCAAATTATGTTTAATTTTAAATTTTGTAGTCATATTATGTTTTTAACCTATACAATAATGAATAATTTTTACAAATTTATCAATCAATAAATCATTTTCAAAATGTTTATTACTTTTTTAAAAATGTTAAAGATAAACATAATAAATATATAATTATTTATTATGTTTATCATTTTTAAAAAAGTAATAAACTTAAGAAATAATTTCAAAATCAAATAGTTTATAAATTTGTAAAAATTAATAATTATTGTATAGGTTAAAAAATTCATACACATAATTTGACTATAAAATTTAAAATTAAACATAATTTGACTTTACTAATTTAAAAAATTATATATTATATTATAACCTTGTAGAACTTGAGGATGAGGTGAAAAATTTGACCTCGAAACCGGTAGTCTATTGTTTTTTTAAAAAATAAAAGGTTTGTGAGAAATTTGACTTCTTATTTCTAAAATAAGTTATAATGGAAAACTCACATTTATCATTTTGAACTTACTTAAATCAAATAACTATTTATTGGATTATCGAACAATATATCTCAAAAATAAAGCATTTCCATGCTTGTAGAAATTTTATGAATTAATATGACGTAGAATCCTCCAAAGTCTAGCCAAGTAATGCAGTTACACCCAGTATATAAACTTTTCTTTGCAATACCGTGACCTTCGAAATATCTTATTGTATACACTTTGTTTCATGGAATATCTTAAAACTCCTTCCAAATATTTTGTATACCTCACTGATTATAAAATAAGTTTAATTTCGTTACTGATCCTGACAGAATTAACAAGGCCAATATTACACCTCAAGGACCTTCGCTGGGTCATTGGAATCTATATTATAATTATGTGCAAATAACTGTAACGTGCTTACTTAAATTTTAAAATCATGTAAATTAATGAAAAGAATGTGTACATGCTGTAGAAGACCTTCAACAATAAAATGTCACATATTTTGCGATAATAAAGTCTACCAGGCTTTAGAAGTGTGCGTTCTCAGTACATGATGTTGCAGCAGAGTGAAGAAAAAATAATGTAAAACTTAGGAAAATTTAAATAAAATGTATAATTTTAGCAAATATTATTTTTCTTTTAAGTGTGTATATTAGGAAACTGACACTAGTATTGAAATTTTAATTTTGCACCGTTTGACGGTTCCATTATTCTATTTAAGAAAAACACATGATTCTAAAATTCATACAAATTTGTTCGTCTTTAGTCTTTAAAGGTAAGATGTAGATAATTTATGAGATGAAGAGCTTTTGATTGATTTGATTGATACGAAATACTTTTTTAAATCGTTTAAAGTTTTTACAAACAATTACGTGTTACTATTTTTTCAGTCATGATGGGTGGTGTGGAAAGAGTAACCGCAAAAAACCCCATTTTTTCGCCCGTTTTTGTGTAGTGTGTAGCAAGAACGGGGAAGGTCGTCCAGAGGTCTCCGTGGGCTTAAATTGATCGTCATGAAAAATCTAGGTGAGCATAATTCGATTTTTCCAATATTTGTCCGACTTATCCCTACTTAAGGGGTGGAAACCACCCCTAAAACAAGAAACGTGAGAAAATGGTCGATCAATTCTTGGTAAAAATTGGCAGGAATTTGAATGGCAAGGAAGAGATCAGGGATGTTCTTCCAAATACATATGCTGAAGGTGAAAAACATCCCACGCGTGGGGGTAAAATCACCCCTATTGCCGAAAACCGGCGGCAAATGATGTTCCCTTCATGAATTGCCTTTTTTGTGCCACTCTTCCTTATAAATCCAAATGATATGAAATACACGCCCCCATAATTCGTTCTTCTGTCGGATTCTGATCAGTTACCCCTACTGAAGGGGTGGAAATCACCCCTAAAACAAGAAAACAGAAAAAATGGTCACCAAAATCTGGGTAAAAATTGGCGGAATTCCACATGGCAAGGGTAACATCAAAAATGCCCTCCTAAAAATGCTCAAGGTGAAAAACACCCCCCGTATGGGGGTAAAACCACCCCTATTGCCGATAGCAGACGGGGAATGATATCCACTTCATGAAGTACTTTGTTTCCCCCACTACCCGACAAATGATACGAAAGACGGGCCCCATAATTCGATCTTTTGTTTTACCCCCACGCGGGGGGGGTGGGTTTATCATGAGCATTTTTAGAAGGACATTCCTGATTTTACCCTTGCCATGTGAAATTCCCCCAAATTTACCAAGAATTTATCTACTATTTTCTAATTTTTCTTGTTTTAGGGGTGGTTTCCACCCCTTAAGTAGGGGTAAGTCGGGCAAATATTGGAAAAATCGAATTATGCTCACCTAGATTTTTCATGACGATCAATTTAAGCTCACGGAGACCTCTGTACAACCTTCCCCGTTCTTGCTACACACTACGCAAAAACGGGCGGATTTTGCGGTCACTCATTGCTTTTTAATAACCTTTTCTTTAAATTATGAGATTTGACAATACATGTCCCAGTTCCCAACTGTGCATGAGCTGTGTTTAACACACAGACTTCACTTATCCAGCGGTGGGGTATGAAAATTACTAAAAAAAAAGGTTATAAAGAAAATGATGTTTTTACGACGGAATTTGAAAAAATAAACTATTGATACGTGTTTCTAAAGGTCAAAGGTAGCCCCTGTATAAATTTGACCCTCACTCAAAGTTACTACCTGCATAAGAAGATATTCTTAAATTTCCTTGCTGAGAATTTATTTATTTCAATCAATTTTTATGTAAAATAAGGTGATACTATAATACTACTTCCTAATCACTTCAGATGGATAAAAAAAAATTGACTTGAAGTAAACTGAAAGCGTACAGATGTATTTAAAATATAAGCTAGCATCGAAATAAGCGAATAATATAGTGCATTTTAATTTCAAATATTGTAATCAAACCAGAAAATGACTGAAAATGATCTGTTTACGGAGTTAGTCCATTTGTCGTCTTATTTCATTCATGTCCAATATGACGTCATTAGCACTAATCAGAACTAGCTACCTTTGTGTAACCCAGTATATCGCGTGTCCGGTAAATAATGGATAACCTTTTAACCGTGGATGGGGGACCCTAAGATCGTTCAGAAAATCGACTTTTGTTTTAGTACAAAGTCCCTTCGTTTTTCAGTAATTTCGTTTTTTTTTCGAAATTTCTGCCATAGGTCATTTTATTGGTCACTATGGCCACAAGAAAACGTATTATCTTTCAGTTGTTATTTAATTTTATTTAAAAATTACAGTAAATGTTCAAATTGTCTGCCGCCTTCCCTGATGCAGGTTCTGCACCTTCTTATGAATTCCTTCGGAGCATTCGTTTGTATCTTCACTGACTAATTTCACGAGCCGCTTCTTGGATGCGGTTCCGCAATTCTTGTATTGTCTCAACTGGCCTGCTATAGACTTTTTCTTTCAGGCAGCCCCAGTAAAAAAAGTCTAGCGGATTTAAATCCGGCGACCGCGGAGACTATACAATTGTACCCATGCGACCAATCCAGCACCCTGGATATAACTGATTCTAACGCCTTCGGACTGCAGCAGCATAGTGTGCAGGACAGCCATCATGTTACAACCACATAGTTCTTCTTAGCCTCAAATCTACGTCTTCTAATAAATTGGGGAGTTCATTTTGAAGGAATTCCAAATAATTTCCACCATTTAAGTTCCCTGGCATTTCAACTGGACCAATAATTTTTCCATTTAAAATTCCAATAACTGATTTTAAATTGATATTGTGATCGGTTTTCCCGCATTAAATGCGGATTTTCTATCAACCAGCTGTGTAAGTTGTGAAAATTCAGACAGCCATCTTTTCGGCAAGTTGATTCATCAATCCACAGGATCTTGTTGAAAAAAATCTGGATTTTCATTTATTTCTCTCAGCATCCGACGGCAAAAAGCGACTCTTGCAGGGTAGTCTTTAAGTTGGAGAGTTTGCACATGTATTACATAGAATGAATGTAACTGATGTTTTTTCAAGATACTGTGAACAGTTGACTTCAAAATTCCGGTGCGTCTAGCGATAGAAGGTCGATGAATCTGCCTAAATTTTTTCGATCACAATTTCCTCATCATAGTATTGTGGTTGTCCTTCGCTTACATTACGACCAGGAATTTTTCCTTCACAATAAGAATTATGTACTCTAATGAAAACGCGATAATCAGGATAGCGTGCGTTTGGGTATCTTTCTCGATAAAGTGCAGCGACTGCATTTGCGTTACCCCTACATTCACCATAAATAAAATGCATGTTGGCATGCTCACGGGCAGAGTAATGAATTTGAAACATTGCAATATTACCCCAATGTTCTAAGAATATTACAATATTGATAAACACAAATCAATCCAGGGAAGCGCCAAGTGGTCGTAAACAGGACCAAACACCATTCAACAAAAAACAAATTCAAAGTAGGGGACAGACGAGGGACAATAACAATGTACAATTATTATGAAATATGATGAGTGACATGTTAGCCCTTACCCTCGAAATGGTTTATTTTTCTCATAGTAATATCAAATGGTTGTTTGCCACTCTCGTTCTCGTACTTTTCTTTTCACAAGAACTAGAAGTTTGGCTAAAAATTAGAGCGTAACGTAAAATTTAAGTTTAAGATTTTTTTAAAAAAGAACTACTATTGCTAGTTAAAAATTCTGATAAGCATCTGATAATAACACAATTCAAGAATATTACGCAAAATAACTGAACGATAATACGTTCTCTTGTGGCCGTAGTGAACAATAAAGTAAACTATGGCGGAAATTTTGACAAAAAAAAACTGAAATAACTGAAAAACGAAAGGAGTTTGTACTAAGACAAAAGTCGATTTTCAAAATGACCTTAGGGTCCCCCATCCACAGTTAAAATGTTATCCATTATTTACCAGACACCCTGTATACCTCCAGCAACCCCATCTTAATATTTTAATGGCACAATGAGCCCCAAGGTGTAATTTTATAGGGACATTGACAGAAACCATTTATTTAAACCAAATATGTATATAAAAATAACACCATATAAAAAATGCTCTGAAAATAAAAAAATCCTTTAAAATATAATTCCTAATATAACCTAATAGTTAAAAAAAGCCACTGGTTTTTAACATACAAGATGTTTTTGAGTTAGGCAAGAAAAATGGCAAAAAGTCATTGGTGTACAAATAAAAACTTTTTAAGGTGGACATTTAAAAAATATTAATGTGCTTATAAAGTATACCACTGCAGTAAATTTTTGCCTTTACTTGGGCAAATTATTAATCCAAGTTTCATCAATCTCCTAACTATATAAATGTAAAAAAATTTAAATGTCAATATCCTGTATCTGGAAATCCAGTGGTATTAGGCCGTTTGTTAAGGTTCTTGAAGTTATAACATGGACTTCATTCAGATAATACAAAAACCAACCTCAATAAAGGGAATGTTATATTATTGTGTCCTGTACATTAGAAAAATCACATTGATTTTGGTCTTTTTCAAGTGAAAGTGGATAAGTGCAGTTTAATTGAAATAAAAAAAAAATTGAAAAATAAGTTATAAGCCACTTAAGAAGTTTGGAAAGGCGGTACATATCCACCAAATGCTTTTTCCAATTCTCCTGCCACCGCAATACATAAATGATCTTGATGAGGCGCTGCAACAACTTGTATACCAACGGGTAGACCATTTTTTAAACCCATTGGAACTTGCGTCACTGGGAATTTCAATACATTCCAAATGGCGAACAGATTAAAGTTCCAAGGCCTCAAAAGGGCTGTGTGGTGGTAATTGGCAGGCCATGGTGCAGAAGGGTAGAGTAGTACACCGTCATCTTTAAGTTTTTCCTTTAATGTAGATTAGAAACATTTTAGAAAATGTAAATACAGGGTGTCCCGAAATTCATACAACAAAATTTGGTCATAGATTCTTAAGACAAATTTAGGGGACCCATATTTTTTCTTTTTGCCAACTGGCCCCCGCTTTCGGAGTTAAAGCCCCCTGAAATCTGACCCTAAGAAGTCTTTTTTATATCTCAAAACCATGTGGTACGAGAATCACTAAATTTGGTACACAGGGGTTTTATGACATGTGGAATCTCACAGTGCTACGCTTTTTGGCGAGAAACTCCCTTGAGACACTTTTTCGTGGCCCCCCTTGTCTTTGGAACCAGAAAAATTTGGTCGCAAATTTGATTTTTTTAAAATTATTATTAGCTAGAAAGCCATTGAATTTAGAAACTTTTTTCTCTTGATATTTGTTTCGTAAAACGCAATGTTTTTGAGGAAAATGGCGAATCATGATATGCATTTGATCACATTTTGACATTTTTCTCGAAAACATTGTGTTTTACGAAAAAAGTATAAAGAGACAAAAAGTTTCTAAATTTAATGGCTTTCTAGTGGACTGATAATTTTTAAGAAATTTAAATATGCGCCCAAATTTTTTTGTCTCCAAAGACAAGGGGGCCCACGAAATTGTTTTAAGGGAGTTCCCCGTCAAAAAATGTAGCACCATCAGATTCCACATGTCATAAAATCCCTGTGTGCCAAATTTAGTGATTATCGTACACCAGGGTTCTGAGATATAAAAAAAAAAGATTATTCTTGGTGGCGGACTTCAGGGGGCTGTAACTCCGAAAGAGGGGGCCACTTGGCAGAAATAAAAAATACGGGTCCCCTAAATTTGTCTTAAGAATCTGTGACCAAATTTTGTTGCATGAATTTGGGGACACCCTGTATATAGATTTATAGGGTATCCCAATTTTCCTCCATGTAATGTACTCATAGTTACTATGGATTGTTGAAAAATAAGATGATTTTACAAAACTTACCTCTATATGAAGTTGCTTTGTTTTACAAATATAATTTTGAAATTGAAGCAGAATTTATACAGCCTCGAATTTCGAATTGTGAAATATGTACTTCATATAAATTAGTCTATGATGTTAAAACACTTTTGTCTTATTTAAATGAAATTACTACAATCAAAAAATTGATTGATTTGAAAATAAAAACAAATTAATGTTAGTTCAGAGACTTGTAATCAAATGTTTTTTCATGAATATTACTGAATATGGTTACCTTTTCTAATAACATAATTTTGTAAAAAAATTATACCCACCCCAGATTTATCTTAACTTTAGATCGCAGCTTATATAAATCAGATAATTCAGATAAGCCAAAATCGTAAAACTTGCGGAATGTGCATCTTTTTCAGTCTGCAGAGAGCCTCATCCTATGCTCACTAGTTGTGTGTAATAAAAGGAGGCTTATTTAAAGGAGTCGATAAAATTCAGAAATTGTGAAATGAGTCGATGTACATCTTTTTAAGTATGCAGATAATTCTTAGAATAATAATTTAAGTTTCTTTAGATTCTCTAAAAAGGTAAACAAGTAGAGATGTTGTGATATCAATTGGAACCTATGAATCTTAAAGCACAGGACCGTCTGCACTTCTCTTGAAATTTCTTCCTATGCTTTAGCCAAGGTCTGTCTCGTAATTTATACTCGTATAGCCATTGGCCGAGTCCGGTATTAGTAGACCAGCCCCCTTGATGTAGAATCGACGGCGGCGCGCTGGTCATCAAAGCAATCCTGTATTGGTCCACTAGGTAGTAAATAATTTTTTGCATGGTATTCTATAATTAATTTGGTATCGAAGGCGGTTCACTTGGCTTTGCCAGTGCAGTGGAGAGCAGTGCTTGGCGTGGTATATTGTTGGTAAAATACATATTATTAATTATTAGTTAATATGATTATTTGTTCATATCGTAACCAGTAAAAGGGTAATAGTTATTAAAATAAATATTATATGTAATTATCTAGTAATTTAGCATGGCTTTCTGAAGACCCTTATAAACGGAGGATAACGAAATAAACTGGCAAAATCCCCAAATAATTTAACCGGTTTTTGTCGAAAGCATCAAAACAAACACGTTCAAAGTCAACGGATTATAGTAAATATATATGAATGTTTGAAAAGAGGAAATAGTGAACAATGTGAAGAAATTAGGAAACTGATTAGTGAATTAACTAATATCAAAAACAACAATTTATCACGTAATTAAAGAAGGAGACGTTATTAGTCACGTACAAAGAGGAAACGGAAAAATACAAAATTAAAGAATATTGACGATTTTGCCAGAGATGTAATACGGCGCAAAATAAAGTTCCTACTCTAAACAGGATTCGAGATAAATTAAGCGATTATCTTGATTATACTTATAAATCTTTAGATGTTGTATGACATGTTTTATTACAATCACGACGAAGTTGCACTTCGGGAAGATTATTTACAAAAAATTAGATGATATCGCCAACTAAATATGAATATAGCTCGGAATATAGTATATTTAGACAACAGGACAAAATTTTTCTGGATGCCTATGGATTCCGTAGAATTTATGAGTTAAGTGTTTTTATGCGGTTCCAATTGAGATCGTAACAACTATACATAATCTATATAGTTATATTATAAAAAAATATATCTATACCTATCACTATCACATATATAATGTGATACAGTGGTAGCTGATGAATAGTGGTCGTATTTTGACAATGATGCATGCGGGGCCCATATTGTTTTTTAGAGAACTTTCATGATGAAAAATTTTCTAATGGAATTGCCAAAATTAAAAATTAAAATCCTGAGATCTCGAAAAAGGTTGAACATATTTGTAATTTTTTTTTCAATAGTTATCTGATAGATACAAATAGTGTTTTTCTTATTTTTAAATTTTAATTCGATACTAATATTCTATTTTTCAAACTTTCTAATGTAACTATAAAAAAATGAAAATTTTGAGAAAAGTAAAAAAAAATGTTTTCATCTGTCAATTATAAAAAAAAATATTTTGCAAATATGTATATCTGTAACCATTTTTGTGATTTCAGGATCGGCAACCCGTAATTAAATGTTTTGTTTTGCAATTTTTTTTTTTTAATTTGTCATCAAAGTTCTGTTTGTCGTTCTATAAATCATCCCCAAAAAAATTGCATGAATCCCAAGCTGTATTATCAAAATATGATCACTTCAATTTCAACAGCTGCCAATGATTTGTTATTTTATGATTATTCTTTAGTTTAATAAATAGTATGCTCAAGACAATGTAGAAAATACTAAAATCTTGTATATTACAGACAAAAAAAAGTTATGGCCATTAATATGAAGAACATTTAAGGAGGACGGAACAAAAAAAATTGTGTTATTATTAATATATAATCTAACATTTTGACATAATGTAATTGTACCAAGTGTTAGAGATACCACTTTTAATATTAGTAAATGCAAACACATTATACAAATTATCCAAAACTGGTTCTAAAACTTTTTATTGTTTATAACCGAGGGCAAACAAACTATCTATGGTGATATTAATTCCTTAAATTACTAACTTTACTATTTTTAAGATATACTGGGTGTTCAAAAATTTGGAACCCCCCCTCTATCTCAGAAAATCGAACAAAAAAATGATTAGGACAAAAGTTGCAGGGTTTTGAGTGAGCAATCCAAGGGTGACCTTGACCATGACTCTGAAGGTCATTTAGAGGTCAAGTTGAAAATTTTAAATGGACCATATATTTTTGGCCCCGGAAATGGAAAAAGTGGAAATTTTTACATTCGGATATGACCTTGACCATGACCTTCAAGGTAGTTTACAGGTCAAGTTGCTTTTTAATAAATGACCCGATATTCTTGAGTGCAGAAATTCAGTGAGCGTAAAATTAAAAAATGACCTATACCATGTCTTTGACCATGACCTAAACGGTAACTGTAACGTCAAACGTAAGCAAAGATCATAAGTTTAATAATGCTCTTACGAAAAAAATTTAAAGGCAAAAAAAGTATACGGGTCCATTTAAAATTTTCAACTTGACCTCTAAATTACCTTGAAGGTCATGATCAAGGTCTTATCCGAACGTAAAAATTTCCAATTTTTCCATTTCCGGGGTTAAAAATATACGGTTCCATTTAAAATTTTCAGGTCGACTTCTAAATGACATTCAAGGTCATGGTCAAGGTCACCGTTGGATTTCTCACTCAAAACCCGGCAACTCTTGTGCTAATCATTTTTTTGTTTGAGCAGTATTTTCTGAGATAGGGCTTCCAAACTTTTTGAACACTGAGTATATTTATCACGTTTATTATCTATTTTAATATGATTTCCTGCACAAATAAAAAATTCTTATTACGATCCTGATCAGCACTTCTACATCTTGAATAAGATCAAAGTGTTATACAATGGAATGAATGTTCTGGTTTATATATGCTGCGCTAGAGGTAAGTTTCTAAATGTAGAATATTGGGACACCCTGTATTTTCAACAGTTTTAATCAACTGTATGAATGTAGTTTCTATATAATTTACTAACAAGCTTTTTTTTAGACAGAGATCACATATTGTATTCATTTAAAATTCCCTTTGTACACACAGTTCAAAAGGAGTTAATAATATTTATTGAGGAATAAGGAGTACAACGATGGTTTCACAAAAGACTACAGAAATTCCAAAAATTGCTTTGGTCGTTACACATTTCTGCTTTCACTTTACTTTTACATGTTAATAGAGAATAGAAATACTTTTGGAGTAAAAATGAGTAGGCATAAAAATTGGAATTATGGATTAATTTAATCTCTTACGAACAATGAAACAAATCTACAAAATAATGTAGTAACTTACCAAAATTTGTTTTCTTAATTTCTCAGTTTCCCTAGTAGCCCACTCCCCGTTAGGGTAGGGCAAAAGACAGTTCACAAAGTTAAAGATTGTTGCCGTAGTGTAATCTCCTCCAACGGTAAAATGTTTTAGAATTTCCATGGCAGGATTTGTCTATAAAAGGAACACCAGTATAAGGACAAATTAGAATTGCACTAATTACATTACTGTGAAATCTAAAATAATAAATGATATGAGCTAATAACTGGCTTATCGAAGTGCCCATACAATAATAAATTGCTCTTTTCGAAATGTATGAATATTTATAAATTCATAAATACTGGACTAATTTAACGTTAAAAAACTGGTATTATACAAGGTGGTTCATTCACTGATTTCAGGGTGGATACTTTGTCAAAATATACAGGGATAAAACTCTTGGCCAAACTTTAATTGCAGATTCTACATGACAAAATAACAAAATAGTTCTTAATCATGCATCTGAAAATTCTTCATTTTCAAGATACAGGGTTTTTAAAATTATTGAAAATTCATTGTTTATTTCAACTTGCAAAAAGCAGCTATGAAATTATATTTTATTTTATTCATGATTGACGTATTTACTTGATTATTATGATTATTTCAAAAGTAACTTGATGTCATGCACTTATTGTATTTTACCTTCTATCTCAAAACCAGTGGACTCTAGCGACATAAAGCAAGAATCCATTTTTGTATAGTCTTCTTATACAGGCTGTTACAAATTCGCTTCTCACTGCAGGGAAGTTTTCGGAAACGGTGGGGGCTACGAAGTAGCTTAAATGGGGGCAGAGTTGCAACATTATGCCTCTAAAAAATCAAGGCTAACAAGATTAGTTTTTGAAATATTTGAAAAAAAACTAAATTTTAGAAATCGGTTTGAAACCAATACATTGAAGATGAATTTTTCGAGACAATACGTTTGAATCTGGTTCAGGCTGAGGCAGTACAGTATTGAGGGTCATGAAGGCTTGCAAAAAATGTAATAAAGTTAAAGTCCTGGAAAGACGAAATGTCACATATAAAAATTGATTATGCCATTCGATAGAGAGCAAAAAGTTGCCATGAGAAAGTGTTCTTCTTTTTTCAGCATCACCTCAAACACGGCTGAAATGAAAACGGATTTCCAAAATTTCGTTTTTTTTTAAATATTTCGAAAACTAATCATGTTAGCCTTGATTTTTAAGAGGCATAATGTTGGTCCCCTGATTATGCAACTTTGCCCCATTTAAGCTACTTCGTATCTCTTATCGTCTCTGAGATTCCTGTAGTGAGAAGCAAATTTGTAACAGCCTGTATATAGTAATAGTGTCCAAGTTGGAAAATCTTGGAAAAAAAAATTGCTGAAATGAAAATTGACAATATTAAATGTTAATATTGTATTACATACAATATTAACAAATTGAACTTTTTTTTCCAAAAAATTTTTACCAAAATAAATCATTCTTGAAAATGGTTTGATTTATCAAGTTTAAAGAAGAGTAATTTTTCCTTAATAATCGATAAATCAACACCTTCAAAAAATGTTGCTGTTCATTAACCGCAAGTTTTAACAACTGTGTTAATCTTATAATTTAGCTTATATTATTTAGCTATGTAACCAATGATCTTACACATACTATACAACCTGTAGGACTAAAAAACATTAAAATAAGATATCTTGTTACCTCTCCCTCTCTATTCATTATATCCTTTTTAAAATTGGCATCTGATTCTTTGCTCATCCAGTATTTCCACAATTTTCCTGTATATTTGGTACCTTCAAATTCAAGTTCTTGAGGTTTTTGTAGTGATATCTCAGTGAAATAATTAACAGCACTGAAATAACAAATACCTTCAGATATTTATAAGAAATATATTTAAAATGTATACCTGGCTAATGTACTTTTCATTTCATCTCTGAATTGGTTCACAAACGGATCTTTTGGATCCATAATATAGTATATTTTAAGTTTTTTAACATCTACAGGCTGATCCAGTTTTAATCTACAGATGTTTTCGGCTACTAGTACCTTCAATAATGGAATAATATCCTCAACATATTTCGTTAGAGTTCCTACTACCACCATTGTCTGTTCCTCTTTACCAGTTCTAAAGGTCATCCCTAAAGGTTTATTAGTAAAAATAACATTTAACAATTTAATAATGGGCTTACCTTTAGTTGAAATGAGGTGTGACGTCGGTTTATGTCCAAAAACACCACACATAAAAGCTGGGATTCTGTTAGAACCTCCAATATCAGTACCTGGAAAATTTGAATATTTAAATTCATTATAACAAAATTCTTATTTAATTGTTCTCGGACTAAGGTTACTACCACAGAGCCTAGTCTAAGATCAATAAGGGTAGATCAATGATTCTTAGTTAGGCCGCTCGCAAACACGGCCACTTGTGGTCGCCACTAGTGGCGGCCACCAAGTGGCCGTGTTTGCGAGCGGCCTTTGGGTTCAGCGCAAACACAGCGTTGGCAGTGGCTCGATCGGGCCACACGTTGTGGCAGAAGTCGTACCTCGCTGCTTGTAGCCGACGACAGCCACTCGTCTTTCGGCGCAGACGCGGCCACACCAAGCGGCCACAGTCTATCGCCACGTTTCTGTTCGACGGGTACGTATTCTGAATTATGAGCACAGAAATGGAGGATATTATAGACGTAGATGTGTTTATATCCGAAACTGACTAGAGACGATACTGGATAGAAAATTCATGAAAAGTGGCGGCCACTGGTTAAAAAATTAGAAGCGCGTGGCGGCCACCTGTAGCGAATACTAGTGGTTGCTTCTAGCCACTTGGTGGCCGCCACTAGTGGCGACCACAAGTGGCCGTGTTTGCGAGCGGCCTTAAGGCTAAGGAAGTGCATCATATTTTACATCATTACAACTCAAAAAAGCATATAACAGACTTCGATCCTGCAAAATTCTAAGTAAGTCTAATGAGAGATAATTTTTTGCTATGGCCGAAGTGGTGCAAGTTTATATAAAATAGACAATTTTTGTCCATACTTTATGTTTAATAATAATAATTTACTACCTCCCATGGACAGGAATAAACAAAAAAGACGTTGCAGAATGACTTTTATTAAATAAGCTTCAATAAAAAAGACTGATTCATTCCTAACATTTTCTTTTTAATCATCTCGTTATCTTCATTTATTCAAGAGATTCGATAGTTTGAGGAAATGATTGAAAATTTGGTATATAATTGAAACTGCCAGTCACAACTGTGAAACTGTTTATTGTGGTGCCTTATGAATTTGGCAAATGCCATCTATTCTCTCTATTCTATAACTCTCTGAGCACTACATGGAAATGTCCAGTATTTGAGCAGCAGTGATTTTCTATCAATGCAATTACCCTTATTATAATCTTTTGGCGACACAAGTAAAATATTTAGAATATTTGACTTCACAAATTGTGACTGTGACAATAATGATTAAATCTTTTAAATATTTTCAATAAAAAATCAAATCTCTTAAATGAATGAGTATAACAAGATGATTAAAAAACGGAAATGTTAACAATGATACTGTCTTTTTAATGAAACTTATCTCATAAAGTTAAGAAGAATCATTCTTTAATTAAAAAAAAAATTATGACAATACTTTTTTCTTATATATATTGCAAGTAGTATACTTTTTTATCTATTTTATCTAAAACTATTTAAATCTACAAAAAAAATTGCAAGAAGATAATATCCGTTGTACTAAAATAATACTGAAAAGCTGATTAATAGTTATTTATGTACCAAGGGAGATACAGGGATGATTATGCCTGCAGGTGACAGGTTGCTTCCGAGGGCCGTTTAGGCCTATGTCTTTACAGTATATACTCCTGAAATACCCCTTATAATTAAATTAAATATGTCTGCTTTTATATTAATTTGCAGATTTTGTGGGAAGACTAAGCAAAAAAGTTTGGGAATTAGTGCAAAACAGTAAGATATTTTTTAATTTTATTTACCTGATTTTTTACTTTAAGGTGGGAAAGAAAACAGGATAAGAAATTTGAATTATCAAATGCATTGTAATGTCTTTTTTTGAAAATATGTAAGTACAAATTAACATTCTTGACTCACTTTCCAGTCAACAATCGAGATTTGTAAATGAATGTGTTATGCAAATCCAGAAATAAGAGATGCAGATTTAATTGCAAACAACAAATTTTGGATGCCTCCATAAAAATAAATCAGATACTGTGGTCGGTCATTCTATAGGACCACTTCCTTCATTCAATCTCTCGGGAAAATTATCTAAAAATTCGAGAACATTTAGGGCCAAATGAGCAGTTGCTCCCAGTGCCGGATTAAGCCTCGGTGGGGCCTGGGGCTTTAAGGGAAGGGACCCTCTTAAGGGCAGAAAAACAAAATAACATTGTAGAATAAATTGTTTTATGTTAAAATATTTATTTTGGCAACGAGAGAACAGAACACATTAAATGTAACTTATTGACCTTCCTTTTAAATTAATTTAGTATGCTATTTTCTTAATATTAAATTTTATATGTACCTAATACAACATACATTTCCAATGAAAATGATTTGTTCAGGTAAAAATTAGCATTAGAAATTGTCATTAAGTATTTTTATTACCGTTCATTAGTCTGTTTTTTTTTAATTTTTCCAATAGCATGTGGGGCCCCCGGAGCCTGTGGGGCCCGGGGCTACAGCCCCCTGGTTAATCCGGCGCTGGTTGCTCGAAACCACTGAAAAAATAATTTGCTTCAGAATACTTCATGAATCTTCGTCATTGACTTCAGATGTATGTAGGGATTAGATAATTTAAATTCCTATCTCTTATTTTTCCTTCTGATGCAAGCATAAAAATCATTTAAATAAAAATTTTTAAATATTACTGTTTATGTAGGTAATTGAAAGAAGCTTAATCATTATATTGAGTTGTCTTTACAATTTTTGAAGGGTGTAATAAAGAGCTGAAGATTCGTCACAAATTCGTTCACGTGTTTCATCGATATTCCAGAAAATTACTAGTATTACTACTTTTAAATATATTCGGGAGGCTAGTTTTGGTTGGGACGCCCTGTATATGAACCATTAAAAAAATGTTTACCTAATAATTGAAATCTACAGATAACGAAAGTAATAATTAGTTATTTCATAAACTAATAATTATACTTATATTAATTTAATTTGTATAACAAATCAATATTTTATTTGGTTTCCACATTGCACCCTCTAATCCCGTTGAATATTTAAACGCCCGCCATTTCTAAAGAGGTGGTGCTACAGATTACTGAACTATCAGAATTCAGAATTGCCAACTCCAACTATGACTACAGAAAAAATAATCACTTTTGTTTTTTATGTTTCCTATTTCGGATGTTTTGTGGGACTTTTTTCTATAGTTAACTGATTAGCCATGCTTATACATTTATAAAATAAATAATTATTAATAAATATTTAATATGGACTTTGCTCGTAAACAATTGGAAAAATATGGCTGGACGGATGGTAAGGAAGTCTGAAAACCGTTTAAATATGACATAACCTTAGTTTATCTATAGAAAGAAAACACGTATTTTAGATCCCACTTATTTATTTGTTTTAATGTTTATTAGGTAAAGGCTTGGGGAAGAACGAAGATGGCATATCAACTGCATTAAAACCAAAATTAAAATTTGACAACTCTGGTATTGGCCATAATATTGGGGAACATTTTACGAACAATTGGTGGGAAAAAGTATTTAACAGTGCAGCAGAGAATATAGAGATTGATACTGGTGATGAAAATCAAATCAAGATGAGAGTGAAATCTGCAGATTCTGTAGAAATTACAACAAAGAGTTACTCGGTAAAGCAGTTAAAAAAGAATAAGAGCCTAGAATATGGGCCTTTCCTTAAGACTGAAAAGTTAACTGAAAGTGGCATTCAGAGTTATAAAATAGAACCTTTCGAAGAACCAGAGTCTCTGAAAACTTTCAGTTCTCTTACCGATGAGGAATTATTTGCAGCATGTGGAGGAAGAACTGCTCACAAAGGCGCTAGACATGGCTTAAAACTTGGCGGAAAATTATCTAGAATAGAAAAACAGGAAAAAATATTGCTGAAGAAAATGAAAAAGGTGTCTTTGTCCGATGATAAAGATAAAAATGTAGTAGAGAAGAAACTAAAAAAACTTAAAAAACAAAAAGAAGATAACAGAGAAAAATACACTCCTATTATTGAGGACAGTATGGAAAGTACATCCTCTAATCATCTGAAGAAAAAGTCTAACAAAAAACGAAAAAGTGTTTCATTTAATGAAACAGTTACAAAAATTTACACTGTAGATCTCGATACTAGTTTTGATAGCGAAATAGGATCCCTGAAGGATGAAAACAGTAATGAACCTACTATGGAAAATGCAGCAAGTGGATCTGATGAAGGTAGTTTTTTTAATATATCTGTTACTACTATATTAATACAATATTTCTCATAGGTATTGAACAGGACATTGAAAATAATAATAATGATATGCAAGACAATCACAAAAGTTTTGAAGAAGCCCAATTCAATATAAATGACCTCTCAAAAGCGGAACGTAAGAAATTGAAAAAGAAGAGAAAGCTTGAAGCCAAAAGGAACACTTCCACAGGAATATTTTTACAGAAGCTTAAAGATGACAATGATGAAGATGAATCAATGGGTGACTTTGATAACAAAGATGTGAATTTAAAAAAGAGGAAGTTCGTAGATGAATGGTCACATGGAGATTTCAAAACAGGACACTCTAAAACTGAATCCCCAGATAGAAATAAGAGTAAGAAAAGTAAAAAGAAAAGAAAGAAACAACTGAAAATGGAAGAGAAACAGATAAACTCCATCGTGAAATCACTTGATAATTTTTGCCGTATATCTGAGAGTGAGTGATGACGCCTATGACAAGTTGTAGAGTACATTTTTTGGGTACTTGAACCATTTATTAGGATTTTTGTTTGTTAATGCGTAGTTGCGTAAGGCATATAACCGTTTTTTAATGGTACCTTTAACTGAATTATTTAGTATGTAATAGAATTACAGATTTATTTATTTTACTTGATAATATGAATGTAACTTCATTTAGTGTTGAATATTTTGTAACAATAGTTCAATTTTACCACCACAAAAGTAGTAGTTTCATTTTGTTACAAAAATAATTGTTACTTTTAATATTTGGCGTGTTATATTATTTGTGTAAATATGCAAATATTTTTTTATAAATACAATCCAAACATTAGATTTTTTTAAAGATATGTTCTCGTTTTAATACGTACCAATACCAATAGGTGTTCCTCCAGCTGCTAAAATGCTGGCCTCTCCTCCAGAAGAACCACCTACGGTTCTTGTTGTATCATAAGGATTATTGGTTATTCCGAATAAAGGATTACTAGTCTCTTGCCATAAATTCAACTGAGGAATGTTTGTTACACCTACATTATGATTAATTTTTTATTAATAATAATTCTATCATTTCACACAATTTGCTTTTCAAAGTTTATTTGTAGATATGAATAATCGGTCTTTATCTGCAGCTTTTCAGTTTAGTTCACATTTTATTACAGTTTAAATAAATTGACATGCTGCAGTCTCTTTTTTAGTGATGATTTTTTTAAAGGCGCGTATAGATTTGAGAGCAGTGCGGCTCACGTAACTAGTGTTACCAGTACGGACGGGGTTTCAAGCGTAGTTCGAGCTAACATTGGACAAGCTGGAGTGGTTTTTCGGCGAGCACAAAGGGATGCTCAGTGTCAGTTTGGATGGCAAAACTACGTGCTCACAAGTACATGCTTATTTAATCATACCATGGCAACATGGCCGGATGAAGACATTCTTTTATACCTGCACCACTTGCAACCATTATGCGAGAGTTTCTTGTTCAGACATCTTTCAAACGAAGACACATAATGGTGTGGTGGATTTGATCGAGCAATGCTGGCGCGAGCATTCATTTTTTCCACGAGCGGTTCATGAGCCACTTAGCTCGCAAGTCTATACGTGCCTTAAGATAATTGCTTCGATAATTTTTTAGTCTTCTAATCTATCGACTCCTCATAATATTTAAACCCAAATACAGGTTGTTCCAATTTATAGGTATACAAGCCATTAATATAGTAAAGAACAGCTAAAGTTGAAATATTTTTTATTAAATATACCGTAATATTGTCAATAAGTATTATTGACTGTATAATTCGAGTATTGAAACTTTATTTGTATACAGGATGTTAATTAAATACATAGACAAACATTTTGCTTTTTAAAATATTTTTGAAAACGAATGACAAGCTAATAATTTATCTAACCAGATGTGAAAATTCGCTGAATTTGGATATAAATAAGTGTACCAGTGGTGGAGATACCAGGAGTTACTTTCTCCAAAAAAACCCTAGAAATTCAGTGTCGCTAAATAAATTGAAAATTCAATTACTTATAACGTTTCTGAGTTAAAAAAATCTTTCATTTTATTTAAAAAACTAACCATTTTTGGATTATTACTTTTTTAGCTTTCATTAGCGTTATTAAACATTAAACATAAAAAAGGTAAAGGTTATGAAGCTTACCAGCAATTAGGCCATGCTTGGCCCTGTTTGACTATTAACTTACACTACCCTCTACTTTAACAATCACAAACATCCATAGGTATGACAGGAAAATTCCTTCGAATTTTCCTGCCGCGTGCGGGATTCAAACCGACTACGGCTTTACCGCACAGCCCTGATTCGTATGTCGGCAAACCATGGCAAACCATGGCCGCGCATTAAACATAAGTCTAGAACTACTAGTTTCACAAAAAAAAATTTCATGATTTTTTTATTTTCTAGATATGAGATTTTAAATACAATATAATCATAAAAAGTACCCTTGACACCGTTAACAAAATGCAAAATTTCTACGCCATAAATTTTTTTGGACTTAATTAGTTTGTATCTAAAATTGTATTTCCTATATAATAGTAATAATTTTTGTACATAAATTCAAAATGGTTCGATTTTTTTGATGAAATGAAAGATATCTTTTTTTTGTGAAAACAACAAGGAATTATAGGTAGCGATTGAATTTGCAAAATATACAATGGTGTCAAGTTTCTGGGATTTTCCCCTAGAATGAATTTTTAATTAGATCATTCATCATCATTGAACTTATATAACAGTAAAAGTGTCTGAAACTATGAACAAGAAAATTTGAGGAGCAATTCTTGTGAGGAAGCGATTCATAAAAGTAATGGTACAAGTTCCTAGGATAGTCGGAAAACACAATAGCTTTGTTCCTAGAGTAAATCAAAACGGTTTCCAATGCTTTCACATTATGTTATAATGCTTAAATGATTTAAAATTAATTGTTTCGAATCAAATGCGATTTGTTCTAACTGTTGGAAATTGTTTCCAATATCTTGCCATAACTTTTTTCTTCACTAAGTGCAGTTATTTATGAAAAAATCTGTTGAAAAACTAAAAGGTTTAAATTCATTGGCAAGGAAATTGATTATGCGGTTTTTCAAAAAATTAAACCACTAAAAATTAGTGAATCCTAAAAAGTTAATAACTGTTTCTGAGAAAAAAAATAGTTTATATGAACTACATTTTCCCTTGAAACACTAGTAAATTATTCTTACTTTTTTTTATAATCTACTCTTAAAAATTAATTAATTTTAAAAAAATTAATACGCGGATTTTAAAGCTTATCTCTGTACAATTTCTTCATGTCCAAATCCTACATTGTTTAAAATTTTAACTGTTCTGCATCCAGTTAAATCGTGGTATTTGGCACTTATGCCTATAATGCACGTTGGAAATTAAACTTTCTCAAAATTGCAAATGCCGGTCTGGTACGATTCCATTTTAGGTGTAAATTTCTTAGAAACCATATAATTTTTTTTTAATTTGAAATGTGACATTCTATAGTGCTAACATCTTTTTGGTCTTAATTAATAAAGACCAAATGTATAAGAAAAAATGACCCTTTTTTGACATAACTTTAGAAAAAATTAAAGGAATAAAAAATAAAAAAAAATGGAAATATATGAAAATATACCAGGAAAATGATCAAACACATTTTTAAATTTGCATATAAAATTTAAAAACTAATAGACAGAATAAAGGAATATTTTTACGACTGTAAAATAGCCTCTGGTTATTAGATTTTGGATGAAATAAATTGTAATATTAATAATAATATTGTAATAATGGTAATACAGTTATTATTTAATAAAAAATATCCAACCCCCTTTATTTTTTTATTTACTGTATTAATGGCCTGTACACCTGTAAATCTGGACATCCTTTTAAATGTTGATCTAGTTGGAATTTGGTAATCCAGAACGTGCATTTTTTTTATTAAAATAAAAATAATTCTTATTTGTCTTTAGACATTTTACAATGTACCTATAGAATATATAATAAAAACAGTGTATAAATTACGATTTACACAGGAGCACAAATGACAAATTTATGACTCATACAAATGAGTTTCACATGAGAATCGACAGAGAGCAGAGGCATCTAGGGGAATCCAAATTACGGTAATTTAAAGCTACTTACCTTTATACTAAGCTGCATCCCTGAAAATGGGGTTTCAAATTTCGAAAAAATCAATATCTATTATACTTGAACTTAGAAAAACCAAAGAGTGACTGCAAAAAACCTACGATTTTTGCCCATTTTTTCACAAATCGCAGAGAATTAAAAAAAAATACATAAAAATATGTTTTTGGTCGCAAATTATTTGTCGTAAAAAACTTAAATGACGTAGCTTTTAGTATTTTGAAAATTTAAAAAATCACCCCTACTTAGGGGTTGAAAAAATGCCAAAAATGAAGAATTTGAATATTACCAATTGATATAAAAACTATTAGCATGTGAATTATCTTATATATATTTTTTAATTTTTACATTTCTGATATTCTCTATTTTTGGGGATCATTCCACCCTCTGAGCGCGCTTAAGGGTGGATTTTCTAATTCAACATGCTTATTTCAGTCATGAGAATAAATCTTTCTTTGTATCAAAAATCATTCAATAGAAAAATTCACATGCTTATCGTTATATTTACAACAGGTACTGTAACGATTGATAAAAATAATTTTTCTTTGAGAAGAAGTTTTAGTGATATAGCTATTTTAAAATTTCGTGTAGCTATTTCAGATGAGCACTGGCATAATCTTTATAATTTAAAACATATTAATGATGCATTAGCGTATTTTAACAGTGTATTTTTATATTATTTTAACGTTCATTTTGCTCTTCGTAAGTATTACAATAAGCCATGTGATAAAAAATGGGTTGATGATGAAGTTAAAGCTTCTAGTAAACAATTAAAGAATGTTTACAATCTTCGGAAAAGTTTCCCTGAATTAATTCCTTTTTATAACTTTGAAAAGAGGCGGCATCGGCATTTGGTTGAGCAATCTAAAAAAACTTATTATCAGAACAGAATCATGTTTTCAGAAAATCAACCACGTTCCGCTTGGAAAGTTCTATCTGAATTGTGTAATCGTAATAAATCACATAATAATATCCAACTAAATGTTGATGGGGTATCTTATGATCAACCGGCAATGGTGGCTTCATTATTTAATGAATTTTTCATAGACGCCCCTCAAAGGGTGGTTGATCGAATACCTAATGCGGTAAACAATTTTAATTCATATAATCATTTCAAGGAAAATAGTAGCTCTCTATACCTGAAACCATATACTCCCACTGAAGTTCTTGAATTGCTCAAAAGAAAGTTAAAAAATAAAAGATCGTCTGGGTCAGACGATATACCAACGTTTGTAGTGAAGCATGTTATCGACTGTGTAATACATTCCATTACGTATCTTGTCAATCTGTCCTTTGAGTGTGGTGCATTCCCAGAATTATTGAAGACCGGAAAGATTGTACCTATTCTTAAAGGGGGTGACCCCAGTAATATCGAAAATTACAGACCTGTAACTGGGCCTGCTGCCTTTTCAAAGATATATGAATATTGTTTTTTAAATAGATTATTATCGTTTCTTGATAAGTTCAATATTTTAACAAAGAATCAGTATGGGTTTCGCAGCGGGATGTCCACGAGCACAGCCATTCATTCACTTTTAAGTAAAATATACCATTTTATTGAACTTGATGAGTGCCCTATTGGAATTTTTTCCGATCTAAGTAGGGCTTTTGATTGTGTCAATCACGAAAGGCTGATATGGAAGTTAATATCTTTTGGAATAAGGGGTCTGGCTCTTGATTGGGTACAATCTTTTCTAGAAAACAGAACTCAGTTTGTTGCTATAAAAGATAGCAGTTATACAGTAACCTGTAGGGATGGGTGTACCACAGGGTTCAATTTTAGGTCTGATGCTTTTTTTGTTGTATATGAATGATGTCGATTCAATTTCATTAAATACAGGTTTCACTATCTACGCTGATGACACTTCCTTAATCACTTCCAGCGGTGATGATATAAATTTGGAGGCTAATTGTAATATTTTATTAGATGATTTAACAAAATGGTTTTCTGAAAATCAGTTATATTTTAACATCAATAAAACGAAAATTTTAAGATTTCACAGTTCACAAAAAAATTGTAATACTTTAGATTTTACCATTGATAACACACGTTTAAGTACTGACTCTGAAGTAGTGAAATTTTTAGGTCTTTATATAGATAAACATTTGAAATGGCATGCTCACTGTGATATACTAACGAAGAAACCCTCCTCTCTAACGTATCTATTTCGTAATTTGAGATCGGTTTTAAGTATTGAACAACTTCGCCGTTTATACTACGCACAAGTTGAAAGTCGTTTCAGATATGGTCTCTGTTTCTGGAGTAACTCCACATTTACTACTCAGGTTTTTATTGCTCAAAAAAGGCTGCTAAGAACTATAATGGGAGTTCCTAGATATTATTCATGCAGGGAAATATTTAAAAGCTTAAGAATTTTAACTTTGCCCTGTTTATTTATATTCGAATTGTGTCTGTACGTGTTTCATAATAAGAGCAAGTTTATGTTAAGTAGTTCTTATCATATTATAGTTAGTTCTTATCAATACGCGACAAAATATGGATTTTCATTTGCCATTTGCTCGAATAAAAATAACAGCTAACTCTCCCGACTGTTTGGGCCTTAAAATATATAATAAACTACCTGAGGAACTTAAATCAATGCAAAGTGTATATTTATTTAAGGGCGCTCTAAAGCAATTTTTAATGGAAAAATGTTATTATACTGTTTCGGCATTTTTGCCTACTCTGTATTAAT